AGAGAGAGAGAGAGAGAGAGAGAGAGAGAGAGAGAGAGAGAGAGAGAGAGAGAGAGAGAGAGAGAGAGAGAGAGAGAGAGTTTTGGAGCTCTGATTGCTTATTTTTCTGTGATGTTGTCATATATCTTGTTCAGGAAGAGGCAGGCCGTCTCTTTTTCACATGCCATTATAACGATGGAGTTGATCAGCACATGATCTGGTAAGTGATGGTCAAAATATCACCCTCACTTCTGCTTCATTGCTGTCATGATCTGTCAGTGGTATCGAGTGTTCATTATTACATTGGAGAGCAGCATTGCATGGTGCTGACAGTACGTGTGTATGCATGCATGTGTGTGTGTGTGCGCCCGTGTGGGTGCAGTGTGTGTGCATGTGTGTGCGTGTGGGTGCTTTGTGTGTGTGTGTGTGTGTGCGTGTGGGTGCTTTGTGTGTGTGTGTGTGTGTGCGTGTGGGTGCTTTGTGTGTGTGTGTGTGTGTGTGTGTGTGTGTGTGTGTGACACGCACATGAACTGTGTATGGTATTTCTATGGGCTGTTTTGTTTCAGAGCACATTGAATAGAGCGGCCAGGGTGATTTTCATGGTAATGCTTCTGGTGCTGTGTGGGGGTTCCGTTGTGGCTACGTGTTTTTGAACATTATATGGAGTAACTGCATATTCCTTTGCTGTGCAAAGGTTGTGTTGAGTAGGAATGGTGGAGCTTAAACCACGAGTACACAGCCCCAGCCTTGCTGAAACAAAACTCGTCGCGCATCCGAAAAAGTTGGGGCAGGGCCACCGTTGATAATTTCAATCGGCGGCCTTTGTCGCGTCTCGTCCCTCTGAAAGCAGCCCGCGGCCAATGTATGGTGTGTGCTGGTGGTTTAGGGGTGGAGCTCTGTATACCACATGTGGTGGGATATGGTTTGTTTTAGGGCTATTTGTCTGTTTGTCCTGGGTGGATGGGTGTGTAGGGACCAGATGGTCTCAACTCCTAAGATGCGGCCTGTGGTTCTCTATGATTATCATTGTCTTTATGTTGGGATGGATTGAGGTGGATTTTGGAAACTCTGAGAACACGCAAACACAAAGAAACCCTGCAAACAAATTTCAAGTGACCTTAAATAGATTGCTGCCATACTTTGAAGAAACCTTAGAAAACACAGCTCGCTGCCTTCCTGTCTTGAACAGAGCAGGAAGTGGCGGCTTGGAAGAGAGAGAGAGAGAGAGAGAGAGAGAGAGAGAGAGAGAGAGAGAGAGAGAGAGAGAGAGAGAGAGAGAGAGAGGGAGAAGGAGAGGAAGGAAGAAGAAGACGAAGACGCAGTGATTGGTAACGTTCTTCATGATGATGGTGTGATGCTGATCATAATTGCGAGATAAATGAGCCTTCTGCCCTTTGAGACGAAACCCTAAATGAGGCAGCTTTGCTGTCCTCCTCGATGTAGGCGAAGAAGAACAACAACAAGACAAAAAACAAGAAGACAAAGAAGAAGAAGAAGAAGAAGAAGAAGAAGAAAAAGAGGACGAGCTTGTCAGACACCCTATAGCCTGTGGGAAACCCATAGTAACCTGCTAGTCGTAGTCGACACCGACAGATCCTCCTGTGGACGGGTTGCGACAGATCGAATGTCTGCCGGCAATCGGTGGAGCAACACTGGCCTCAGAGACCCTCACCCTGGAACGTGTCTGCCTGCCCTGTCAATGATTGGGTGAGCGAGTTACAGCCTATTTTGCATGTGTGACTGTTTTCTCAATCTCTCTTTTTTGCCAGCTTGTTGAGAACGATGCAGAGGGCGGTCATCAACCAGAGGGGTTGGTTGGTGTAGGATAGTGTGGGTGACAGGACTATCCTGGAAATCGTGTTAAGACTGGACTATGTTAAACTTGTCGAGGTTGTCTTAGTGCCTTGACTCTGAGTTTCTTGGTTTTACTTGTCAGACTGACAAGGTCAGACGCTGACAGACCGTCAATCGCTGTCTTTCTCACTGGTATTCAAGCATCTGTCACATACTGGTCTTCTAGTCTGCATGCTGCCGTCTTCACGGGAATATGACGCATGGTCATTATTGCTGCATCTAGACTGAAACTGGGTCCAAATACAGCAATCATGACCACGCGTTCTTTTTTTTTTTTTTTTTTTTTTTTTGAAGGAGAAGTTGCGTTTTATTAAATTTTATTAAATTTTATTAAATTGTATAACTTGAGGCCGGGAATCGCTCAACGTCTCAACCTGGAAAATCTTGGGCCATTTGGGCCATTACCCAGTTTAGGCTATAGCTGGAAACCGGATCCCGCGTTCCTTGATCTGCAACTTTCCTAAAAAAAGAGCCTGTACTAGATGGATGGGATCTGAAGTTGAAGGAGAAACTACGACAAACAGCTGGTCTGTAAGCCTTACGTTGTATAATGACGGTGCGTTCTATTTGGGTGGAGACTCCACCCTAGCTCATCTTTGGTCTAACATATTCAGCTGAATAGAACCCTGATCATTATAGCTGTATTGGGAGCAATTTTCAGTCCAGTTGGAGTGCTAATGACTTGGTGTTCTTTTGTTTTTCAGAAAACAAAACAAGCTATATTCTTCTATCAGTATACCTCGCACTACCTACCTACCTACCTACCTACCTACCTACCTGAGCTCACTACTGTCTTCCCCCGAACATAACGCACCCTGAAAATAAACGTATACAAGGTATGTTTCCAGCCCGATACAGTGAAAATGAGGGTGCGGTGTGTTCGGGGGAAGACGGTAGGTGGTGAAACTACCTGACTAAGCACCCGGAACTAACATCCAATGTCGAGTCCAACACTTAGCGAAGGATGGAAGGGGCGAGGGCAAAGCCCTTTCCGAGACCGACCAGGGGGGGGCAAGCCATCTATCTCAGCTGGTCAGCACGAAGCACGCCCTGGCGGTGATCGTGGGGAATTGATCCCACAACCTCCTGAATGCCACTTGTGTGCGCTACCAACTGAGCTAGGCTGTTGGCCCTCGCAATGACTTGGCGTTCACTTTGGGTGAAGATGGTAGTCTGCCCTGCTCTCACTACTAATTTAGCCTTTTTCCCTCTTCCTTGGGGCATACTGATTCACCGAATGATAGGTGTGTATTTTTCTTCTTCTTCTAAGGATATTGGGAAAACAAATGGTGAGCACGTATTTGAAATTGAGAAGGTTGTGGAAGACTCGAAGTATCGGGGCTTAGGAAGCCGCGCGCTGTCTGCGACGTGACTTTCCTGCGGCTAATTTGCTTCGCTCCGCTACACAAACACTGAATCTTATTATATGTGGAACTGGTAGCTGTACAGATACATGCAAACTGTGCGGCCAGTTTGAAAGTACCTGGACGGCCACGAAGTCCAGATACGTTTTTACTGTTGTGTGGCAGAGCGAGGCCCAATGGCTTGGTCTTGTGGACCTCTGGCTCTCCCTTTTTTCTTTCTGACATGCATCTCTTCTGACATTCACTTGTGATTCTTTGCAGGCTGATTGGGCTGAAGAACATCTTCTCAAAGCAGCTCCCAAACATGCCTAAGGAGTACATCGTCCGTCTGGTTATGGACCGGTGAGATACATGGTTCCTGACCAGGTTTGTGAAGTTTGAAGGTTGAAACAGAACAGCACGACGGTGATGATGGTGATGAAATCAGAGCTGCCTTACACATGGCGGTGTCATTTGGATGGAGGGAATGACGAGAAGGTGCACAGGTTGAGGAATGGTAGGCACAGTGTGTGGGGGGTCTCATCTCTCCAGTTTGGCTCTTCAATGTCTGAAGAAGGGGGGGGTTATGTTCCTGTTCATTGAAGCCGTGGGCCATTTACGTTCAAGTCTTGAGTTGGAATATTTGTGCATTGCTTGATGAATAGCAGGCATGGCAAATGGGGGGTTTGAGCACCCCGGTTCATCTTCTAGATGTCTGAAAGGGGTATTATGCTCCTGAACTTTGAACCCTGGGGCCTGGGGTCATTATTATACCTTGAAGGCCTCAGTACGAACCTTGATCTCGATTCTGGAGTTGGTCCGAGGACAACTTCTTGCTCAGGGAAGATAAAGGAAAAGAAAGGTGTTGTTGTCTAGTGTTACATACTTCAATAAGTATGGGCAGAACCAAAGATCAACCAATATAGGATGAGCATTTATGCAGCGGAAGTCTGATAACGAACTGACTCACATAGACTGACCTACATGGCATCACTCCACACACATACAATCATGAGATGGTGGGGTCTGGGTCATTCACAGACGATACCCAGATCCCGTACACACATACACWGATGAAAGGTGGGAGGAGAGACGAAGGAGGTAGGAGGTAGATCACACYGATAGGTCACAAGATAGAGTCTGGTAGGTCTCCGAAATGGTAGTCCAGAATGTCATATAACAAGATCGAAATGTCGAGGACCAAAGGTCACYAATGTCGGAGATAACCGAGTCCAGATGTAACCGGTGTACAACTGTGATGCAGCCGAGTGTCAACCTCAACAATCTCCAAGTCTCCAATCAGGTAAGTACCACAGTCTCGTATCACCGAAATCCAACTCTGATCTCTGTCCAACTGGATAGTCTCCAATCTGTAGAAGAAGAAGAAGAAGAAGAAGAAGGAGGAGGAAGAGGAGAGAGAGAGAGAGGGGACTGGCGAGGGAGAGGAGGAGAGACCCTCCAAGCTCCCGGTATCTCAGGCGGCAATGACCGCCGTGCTGGTTCAGTCGCCCTGCTGCTGCTCCGCTCGCTGCTGCGCTAAGCTGCGCTATGCTGCGCTCCTGCTTCAGCCCCTGCGCTAAGTTTAGCGCATCGAAACAGTACAATGGTACTGACCATGCCGTGCCGGTAGAGTTCCGGTAGGCCGATCCCCAACTGAGGCAGGATACCGGTACTTATACCGGTAGGCAATGGTCTGGCCTCTATGCTGCGAGGCCAGGCGAGACCCTGGACCGTCCAGATGGACGGTTCAGCCTCAATCGGCGGGCGGCAGCTTCAAGAGCGCTGCCAGGCCCAAACGAAGTGTCGTTTGGGCCTACCCGATGGGTGCTGGTCCAAAATCAGGCCTTTAGGGCCTGTAACCCCAAAAGGTCG